AAAATTTGAAAAATCTAAAAACAAAGAAAATATTGACCGCCCATTGTTCGTAGTTCATTCTGATGTATGTGGTCCGATTACGCCCTCAACTATTGATAATAAAAACTACTATGTAGTATTTATTGATCAGTTTACACATTACGGTGTGACATATTTAATAACTTATAAATCAGACGTGTTTATTGTATTCAAAGACCTTGTGGCGAAAAGTGAGGCTCATTTTAACTTAAAAATGGTAAATCTATATATTGATAATGGCAGGGAATACCTCTCTAATGAAATGCGTGAATTTTGTGTCGAAAAAGGTATCAGTTATCATTTAACGGTTCCTCATACCCCACAATTGAATGGTGTTGCGGAGCGGATGATTAGGACAATCACCGAAAAAGCTCGATCTATGATTAACTGTACTAAACTTAATAAAAGTTTTTGGGGTGTTGCTGTTTTAACAGCAACTTATTTAGTTAATAGGTCCCCAAGTAGAGCTTTGGAAAATATAAGAAAAACACCATATGAGATGTGGCATAAAAAGAAGCCAATATTAAAATATTTGAAAATATTTGGATCGACTGTATACGCACTAAATAAAGTTCGTAAGCGAAAATTTGACGAGAAATCGATCAAGACTATACTCGTTGGGTATGAGCCAAATGGCTATAAATTGTGGAATGAGGAATCGAGAAAATTTATGATAGCTAGAGATGTAGTGGTGGACGAAAAAAGCATAGAATCTATGACTTTAAATGAAAATGACTCTGTGGTAAAACATAATGATGTTAGCAGAAGTCATGATTCTCCAATTGAAGAGAATGAAGAGTTTGATTTTCCATCACAGGAAATGAATGAATCAATGGATTCAAAGTTTGGTGAAAACTCAAATGAAAATTCCACTTGTCTCGAGAATACCGATCCAGTAGTTGAAACTGGTGATAATATAGAAGAAAATGAAAATCAAAAAGTCAGACGCAGTGAGACAAATAAAGATAAACCAAAATTGTCATATAGATTTTTAGAAAAATGTCTTATGAATACCCAATTGTGTTTAAGTGATATTCCCAATACATATGAGGAAATTAAATTTCGAGATGACCGAACCTTGTGGGAGGAAGCCATTAAAGATGAACTAAATTCTCATTTTGTAAATAATACATGGTGCTTAGTGCAAAGGCCTATGGATAAAAATATAGTAGATTGCAAGTGGGTTTTTAGTTTAAAGCAAGATGAAAATGGTAATTTACTAAAATATAAGGCAAGACTGGTAGCAAGGGGCTCCACCCAAGAAGATATGATGGATTATGATGAGACCTTTGCACCTGTTGCACGAATTTCTAGTTTCAGATTTCTTTTGGCATTTTCTAATCAATATAATTTACTGATCCATCATATGGATGTAAAGACAGCTTTTTTAAATGGAACTTTAAAGGATGAAATTTATATGAAGGTTCCAAAAGGTTAAGGTTAAACCAGTACGAAGGAAATAAAGTATGTAAACTAAATAAAGCTATTTATGGCCTTAAGCAAGCTGCACGATGCTGGTTTGAGGTTTTTGAAAGTGCACTTAAAAATTTTGGATTTCAGAATCTAGAAGTAGACCGATGTATATATATTTTAAATAAGGGAGATATAAGTAAAAATATATATATACTATTATATGTTGATGATGTGGTAATTGCCACCAGTAGTTCTGAAAGTATGTCTAAATTTAAAACTTACCTTTCAAGTACGTTTCAAATGACTGACTTATGTGAAATACGACATTTCCTTGGTATAAAAATTGATCGAAAAGATGATCAAATTTGTCTCAGTCAATCTGCATATATTAAAAATGTTTTAAAGAAATTCAATATGGAAGATTGTAATCCAGTTAGTACCCCTCTTCCAAACAAATTAAATTATGAGGACTTGCAAGCTGAAGAATCATGTGAAGCACCATGTAGGAATTTAATTGGCTGTTTAATGTACATAATGTTGTGTACACGCCCGGACTTGAGTACATCAATAAGTATCTTAAGCCGGTATACTAATAATAATAACAAAGAATTATGGCAATGTCTTGAACGAGTTTTAAGATACCTAAAAGGAACTGTTGAACTAAAGTTATCGTTCAAAAGGAATCCTAAAGTGGATAATATTCTTATAGGGTATGTCGATTCTGATTGGGCTGGAAATGAGACTGATAGGAGAAGTACTACAGGATATATATTAAAAATGTTTGGAAATTGTTCCATTTCCTGGAGTACTATGAAACAAAAATCAGTTGCTGCTTCATCTACCGAAGCCGAATATATGGCCTTATTTGAAGGTGTTAGAGAAGCATTATGGCTAAAGTCATTAATAAATGAAATTAAATTAAAATTAAATGGACCAATAGATATTTTTGAAGACAACCAAGGTTGTATTAGTATAGCCAATAATCCTACTTGCCACAAGAGAACTAAGCACATAGATATTAAATATCATTTTACCAGGGAACAAATTGAAAACAAACTAATCTGCGTCAAGTATATTTCCACAGATTTCCAATTGGCTGATATTTTAACGAAGCCACTACCAACAGCCAGATTCACTGCACTGCGAGACCAACTGGGGCTAACTGGACCTTTAGCCTGAACCTTTTTTATTTGATAATCCACCTTAAAACCAAGACAAGCTGGATCTCTTGGCATATATATATATATATTTAACAATAATCAAACCAAAATAATTTCTAGTCTAACCATTACTGTTTATATAAACGAATCTTGTTAATTTATGTTTTTGATTGATCTGATTGGGTTTTGCTGGGTTTCCCCAATTCTTTGCAGCAAATGCTGGATCAGAAAAGAAAGAGTCCCCAGAGTTGAAAAATATTACAACCAGTTGAATATGCACACACTCGTCTGAAAATTATCTTTTGTTATTCCTTAATTTGTATCAGTGTAACTTTTGAGGTGGCGTGTTGAAAATACCAAAAGTCACACTTGTACACATATACATTGTGTGTGTGTGGGAAGGGGATGAACCATGAAGATCTCAGAGAGAGGCAAGGCTCTCTCCTCTCATTGTTCTCTCCCTCTCTGCCTAAGAACGGTTTTTGTTTCATTTTGTATGCACATGCGTACCCTAGTCACTTGATTTCAGACAACGAGAGAGTGCGGTTGTAGAAAATAAAACTTAACTAAAACGTTAACTAAAGTGTTTTTACTATTTGGCAAATCGGGCTGGTGTATTTCTGGAGTTTATATAAACATTAGTAATATAATTTCCATAACAAGACTGTTAAATGCATTAAAATAATTTATCTAAAATATTTGGGTAACGACTTGGGTATGCCTGTTCACCGCATTAAATTGGTTGTGAATAGACGTAAAGATATTACTTAAATTGCCCATAAGCTTTGATTGACTCAATTTATGATGGAAACTTAAATGCAATTCGGTAAAAGGACATTGTAGCAATTTGTATAACCGTTACTCGTAGAGTAAAAGGGTATATTGTTTTCGTGCAAAAGTATGTAACAGCTAGAAGGAAGCGTTTCCGACTCCATAAAGTATATATATTCTTGATCAGGGTCACACCGAGTCGATCTAGCCATGTCCGTCTGTCAGTCCGTATGAACGCTAAGATCTCGGAAACTACAAAAGCTAGAAGGTTAAGATTTTCCACACATTTTCTACACATATTCTACGCAGCGCAAGTTTATTTCAGCCGAGCGCCACGCCCTGTCTAACGCCCACAATCGGGACACCAACCCGACAATAGCGTTCTCTCTTGTTTTAATTTGTTAACAGTTAAATTACTAATGTTTTTAATCTCTTACCAAGTTAATTTAAGCACGTTATTATATATATATATTTTTTATCAGGGTCACTAGCCGAGTCGATCTAGCCGTCTCCGTCTGTCCGGTTGTCTGTCCGTATGAACGCTGTGATGTTGGAAACTACAAAAGCTCATATTCTTGAGCTTCCTACGCAGCGCAAGTTTATTTCAGCCGAGCGCCACGCCCTTTCTAACGCCCACAATTGCCCACAAACGATTTTAAAATGTGTCTGGCGCCCACACCTTTAAAGATTTCCGAGAAATATAAATGCAATTTTGTTGTGTATATTGATACCTATCGAAATGTAGAAGACCCGATTTTTCAAATCGGACCATTCACTAAAAAGTTATGCACAATCAAAATTTTATATAGCCATCTCCCTCGCACTCTCTTTAGCTGAGTGACGCGTATTAGACAGTCGGGACACATTAACATTCTTTCATAAAATAGTGATGAGTGGAGAACCAAATTATCTTTTCAATAAGCTTACACCAGCAACATCCCAAAGGACAAAAAATTACATATGCCCTCGAGTACAAACACTGTGTTTGAGAAGGCAATTTTTCATAAATGGTATTCGGCTATGGAACAATCTACCGCACCAATTCAAGACAATTAGGAGCGCAACTCAATTTTATAATAAACTCAAAGATAACTTAAAATCGCAATACATATGTTAAATTAATTATAACAATAAAATAAAATAATAATATATAAAAATAATAATAATAAAAGCATAAAAAACTATAAAACTGTTTAAAAAAAATTGAAAATAATATAATAGTATTTAGAAAACTACAAAATATTTGATGTTAGTAATTAAGTAAGTAAATGAGGAGAATTGTTAAAATATCTTAAAAATAATAATTAGTTAAAAATATCAACTCAATGTGACTAGCGCGATAATTCTAAGTGTGCACTTGTAGCGCTGGGATATTAAATACATAAATAAAATTAAATAACGTTCTCTCTTGTTTGACATTAATTTCAATACAATGGAGTACAGACCCTCGAAGATATCTCAAAGCAAAACATTAAATGAAAAAATTAATTTTTTTTCGGACAAATCCTAATACTTCTCTTTGATTTTTTTTTCCAAGAAAAGGTGTTCGGTTTGTAAAAGAACCGCCCATATGCTTACTTGTTTTATTCTTCGCGTCGCAAGTACAGTAAATCAGTTATTAAGGTTTGGGGTCATATATATATGATTTATAATTACACGGATATTTTAATAGTTATTATCAGTTTACAGAAATTTAGCATAAATAATAAAAAATATAAACATCTTTACATTTAATATAAGCAAAGCAAACAAAATATTTGTACGGCTACGTCAATGAACTCCGGTTAGATGTCGAGCCATTGCAATACAGCACTTCAGTCCTATAAGCGCCAGTAGGAAGCAAATTATTATTGTTATGACCATAATATCTTCATAAAATTGTTCCTCAGTGATTTCTGTAGACCTTTCAGTTGAAATAATATTCTCTATAAAATAGGCTGTTGGTGTTAAATGCTTTAAAAGACACAGCACAATGCTTTCTTTAGTTTCTAAATGGCTTTGCGTCAATATACCATCGGTATCCCAGTATTCATAGTTCCAGTATTGACAAGAACCAGACATATTTACCTCGTTTTTACTCCTTATACGTAAGATTAGTGGTAAAGGTTCAGGGAGAATAGTATTGTACCCAGGTAATGATATTGATACTATATGACTTAAAAGCTTTTTAGATTCTGTAGACGGTTGAAACAGCTTGTCATTTGAGTATACCTTAATAACAATAATAGGATCACTTTTATTGGTTGACGATGAAAGAAAACAAGGGAATGCTTTTAACCTTCCTAAAAGTTCTTTCGATAAGTATACACCAATTTGTATACCAGGTTCTTTGACAACATCATTAATGTCATGATCTGTTTGGAGAAACCGATAATGCTCATTTCTAAAAGAACCCTTTAATTTTTGATGTACTTCTACAGACTTGTTGTTTTTAAACAATGCTATTCCAGAAACATTTGCAATTGTAGGATTGATTAGGAAATATAAAAAAAATTTCGAAATATGTACGGATACTCCAATATCATCATAGTCTATAATTTCACTTTCTAAATCTAAACCAATATCTTCTTCACCAATATTGGTTTCATTAAGGAACAGCATAGTTGATATAAAGTCAATAGATCTCTCAAATGATTCCAATAACTTGTTCGTTGAGTTTAGCTTAGCTGACATCCTTATAACGTTAGAATCAACAACGTTTATTGAATTGTAAATATTTAAAATGTCAGCAAAAATATTTCTCCATTTAACATAACCTTCACTCGTATTTCGAAGAGTTTCCTTTGATAAAATGATTTTCAGGGTGTCTTGTATGATGTTTGAAATAGACAGTATATCTGCGGGCACTAGAATTTTTTCATTTTTTATGATTATGTTCCTAACATTACTTAATACTTTTTCTGGACATAAGTTAAGCATATTTGATTTTTCAAAATCATGTAATATTTTTGTAATTTCGGTTTTACGAACTACTGTTTTTTTAAACTCGCTTCGAGAATCTTCACGTAAAAATTCACCTTGACATAATCGTGTAAAATGCATGCCATTGTTTTTAATGCGTAATCTTCTAGTCGTTTCAGTTTTTTTACAACAAGCTTTTATCCACTCATTTTTTTTTTTGTTTTCGTAAATATACGCTCTGGGAAACAATAATCGGTACAACGTATGAAAGATTCCGAATTTTTACTGAGGTCCATAAATAATTTTTTTAGGGATATCTGAATATGCTTCAGTTGATAAATGTTAATTGGTATTTTTAGGTTATCACTCTTGTTGTCATGGCCAACGTCCTTAACTTTTGATATTCTGAGTGATGCAGCTAAATGAATCCAATAAACACGAAACATATTTGTGATCCGTTCCATACTCATAATTTGAACATCGTGTACAAAAAGCTCACCTAAGATGTCTTCATTTGTTCTCCTTTTTTTTTGTCTTCTAAGTTTTTTACCAATTACAATGAATCCCTTGCTTGAAGGGTTAGACAAGGTTTTTGGAAAATGTTGATAAATACAAGAGACATTCCAACGTATAACAAATCCGTGACATTGGCTCGTGATAGGAGCTATAAATTGTTGAGTGGAAACTAACTGAAAATCAAAAATGATGTGACCGTCGCTACCATAACTTGAATCCAGCTTGACATGAAAAATAGAAAAAGACTGTTTTTTATTCTCCAAAACGAGAATAGCCTTTGCTTTTTTTAAATTGTCGTATTTTAAATATATAAAGCATTTTGCGCCAAAATGTTTATCTACCCACAAATACTTTTGATTATTAGCCACCAGTACTAACGCCTTATAGTTTCCATCCATTTTCAATACCATTTTATCTGAAGTTCTTTGCTCGATAGTTTGTTTGGCTAATGCGGGAACCCATTTCATGCCCTCTCCAAACAGTTTTTCATTTTGAAATGGGTATATTAAAATAGAATAGTTATCTCCAAAAGTATCCGAAAAGTGATACATTTCCAAGAAGACCTTTTGTTTTTTCCTTATTACGTACTTTGCAATACATTTTCTAAGCCAATTTGGTTTTTTTAAGTACTTTTTGACATTAACCTGTTCAAAAGCCATTTTCTTCCAATCTATATCATAACATACGTTGGGCCGATAAACTAAAGTATTATAACTGTTCGGACATTCAGGAAGCAATTCAGACTGAAAAATGCAGACTGCGTTTAAAAAAGTGTTGCAGTCTTCAGTGACAACCATATTTTTGGAGTTTAATGTAATCTGTTTATATAATATATGTTTCAAACAGTGTGCATCAGATCTCATTTGAAATTGAGTTACATTTTTATTAAATACTTTTTTCCATGCATTATTTCGCCTTGTTGGCAGCCAATAGACACTTATATTCTTTATTAAATACTCGGCCACTATGGAAATTTCTGTGCTTGTCAAATGCATTGGAATTAATACATTTGAGCCATTGCAAAATTCTTCATTGGAAGCTTGATGATTAGTTGAAATTTTAAAAAAAACTCGAATTTTGCGAAGCGATTGAATTTCAAATAGTTTATCTGGGCACTGTCCAACATTTTCATTTTTTATCAATTTACACTCTAATAAATCTGGGATCCAATGCCCAGTTATTGAGTCGCACATACACACATAAATGTGGGGATCCCTTTTTTGACAAAGTAAGTCTTCAGATAGTGCATACCTAATCTCTTTGTACTTCCAATACGCCGTGCCTTTGAATGATTTAGTATATTCATCATGACATTTTTTTATCTGAAAAATAACATTTTTCAATAAAATGTGCAAAACTTTTAATTTATAACTTATAATAACTTAGTATTATACACTTACCGACTTCTTTTGGGAATATATAGGAAGGGTAGATAAGCAAATATAAATTATTGGGAAGATCAAGATACTATACATATTTTTGATAAATCAAGATGTAATAAAACTATGATATTTCCATTGAAGCTCTTTTATCTAAGAAGACATTATCTTTTTTTTATCTTATTGTACAACTTTACTTAACGTGCTATTGGGGTGGTCCTAAAAAAACTTTTTCCTAATTTATGTTGTTCACGCCAAAAGGGCGTCTAATTTCTGGAGGCAGTGTCAATGGGCAGTTTTCTCCAGATTTCCATACCTCGCTCGCTTGCAATGGCTTATGCTCTTCCTCTACAACTCTCCCGCAACTCTCCTCTCCGCTCTGGAGTCTTAATGCTAAGCTTCTTCTAATTAGTTCCTATTTACAAGTACCCAATAAGTTCTCCCGCGTTTTCCTTGTTAGTGTATCTCTGCTGTAAACTAATGCCACATAGATATCCACCCACAAATGATATCTCCAATTAGTCAGTGCTTATATATTTCTAGAATGGAGCTTGGAAAAGTAAATGAATGGACAAAAACAACGGTTTTGAAATCAGTCCATCAAAATCAAAATTAAATAGAAATTATGCAATAATTAATTTGCAATTTTAATTTTATATTAAGACATATGAGAAACGCCCCATACTATACAAGAAACACTACTATTTTTCGAGATCTCAAAATTAATCCTGTTTGTAAATCTATCACCAATAGGGCCATTCGATACAGATCAAGACTCGTCTCACACACAAACAGACTTGCTTTCAGACTTTCCAGACCTATGAACAGAAGAAGACTAAAGAGATTGCACCCATCAGACAATTGGATACTTGGACGGGACGCTTGTGGAAGACTCTTTTCAGACTTAGACGCATAGTCTGCAACACTGTTACATTTTTGTAATAACTCTTTTTTTTTATTCACTACTTTTGTTATTTTTACCATGGGTGAAAGTGAATTGAGTTCCACATAACACCCTCCAATAAACTTTTTGTTAAGCACATCGAAAAAAAAAACTGTGGTTCATGATCACATCCAAGCCAGTCTCCGAAGTAATCACTGTGTCCTCTTTATCCTTCTCGGCTGAGAAATTGTGACAGCTTCCGTTAAGCCTCTGAGTTTTTTAGAGATATTTTATTTGAAATATCTAATTTATAATATACAGCTCACCTTATAATATTTAAAAACAAGAGAGAACGCTATAGTCGGGTTGGTGTCCCGACTATCTAATACCCGTCACTCCGCTAAAGGGAGTGCGAACGCTGTGTCGTAATCGTAACTCAGCTAAAGGGAGTGCGAGGGAGATAGATATATGTTGACAATTTATAAAGCGTATAACTTTTTAATGAATGGTCCGATTTGAAAAATGTCTTCTACATTTCGATAGGTATAAATATACACAACAAAATTGCATTTATACTTCTCGGAAATCTTTAAAGATGTGGGCGCAGGACCCATTTTAAAATCGTTAGTGGGCGATTGTGGGCGTTAGAGGGGGCGTGGCGCTCGGCTAAAATAAACTTGCGCTGCGTAGGAAGCCAAAGAATATGTGTGGGAAATCTCAACCTTCTAGCTTTTGTAGTTTCTGAGATCTCAGCGTTCATACAGACGGACAGACGGACAGACGGACAGACGGACAGACGGACATGGCTAGATCGACTCGGCTAGTGACCCTGATCAAGAATATATATACTTTATGGGGTCGGAAACGCTTCCTTCTAGCTGTTACATACTTTTGCACGAATCTAGTATACCCTTTTACTCTACGAGTAACGGGTATAATAATTTTTCTTAAAATAATCCCTTAAGGGGGAAATACAATTAAAAGGCCTAAAATGAGGCCTATCTTTGGGAGTGGATTGCAAGTAGGGAATTAAATGAATCTTAGCGATTCTTTTTGCATGTTATTAGGAAATTATTGGGCAATGAAAATCAGTCAAGTTTTTTAAAAAATATTGTAATTAAGCCCATTTATGATCAATAATGTGGAGTCGTGTTTTGAGTCATGAATTTTGCGCCGTGCAGTCTCCAGGCCCAGGATCACGTCTAAAACAAAAAACAGCAACTGGGCATCAATCTTAGAGGTACAGCGCACAACATGAATTAATTCATATGTAAAAAAATGGTTTTTCCATGGAAAAATGTGAAGTTGCAAAAAATTTTTTCAAAAATCAAACTTTTTTTTTACTTTGTTCGTAAAAAAAACATGTTATAACAAACAAATATAAAAAATCCTTTTATTCATGTTGTTATTTCAAACATAAAGCAAAAAACCGCATTCGATTAAAATGAAATCTCTGACCTGTACATTGCAAGGCGACTTTGAAAACACGACTTTTCAGTAGAAGCGTTTAAAGTTTACCTTTGTGCATTTCAGCTATTTGACACGCACTCACTAAATTGCGTATTACTTTGAAAATAAATACCGGACGGCTTTATGCTTTTAAAGGCTTATTCCCAGACATATTTAGAGTACATTAAGACAAAAAAAAATTTTTTCGAAAAAAAAAAATTTTCAATTGTATTTCCCCCCTTAATTAATTTTTTAAAACATAATAAGCAATACAACACCAGGAACAGGTTTTCCAACACTGCCTGCAAGGACCCACCGTGAAAGAGTGAAGGTTTTTTTAAGTGTTAAAAATAATTTTTAGGTTTTAGTGATTTAGGAAAAAAAAATGTTATAAATTGCATCCTTTGATGATGGTATTTATCTCAACAAGAAAGGAAGCTAGCTTCAGCCAGCGGTTACCCTTGCAGATCATTGCTATTAACTTACAAAAACATTAAAATTAGATTTACTTGCTTATGAAACAAAATCTCCCAAGTGGGCCACCCCTGTGCAAAAGTATGTAACAGGGAGAAGGAAGCGTTTCCGACGTTATAAAGTATATATATTCTTAATCAGGGGCACTATGCAGCGCAAGCTTATTTCAGCCGAGCGCCACGCCCCCTCTAACGACCACAATTGCCCACAAACGATTTTAAAATGTGTCTGGCGCCCACATTTTTACAGACTACAGATAAGTATAAATGCAATTTTGTTGTGTTTATTTATAAGGTGTGTTTAAAAACTATACGACACCAAGACATTTTTTTTTTCAAAATTTGTAGAGTTGTTGTTGGTTATAGAAAGCGAAACATTTAAATGCAGATCGAAGGAACAATGTATCATGTGTACCAAAAACATACCACGCGTCCTTGATCACTAATTTTTTGAAATATAGTACTTTTTCGGCTTTTTCGATTGTTTCATTGTTTAGGATTGTTTACTTGGACGTTGATGCACTATGGTCAGTACAAACAAGTGGCCCTTCGACACCAAGCAAAGCTTGTTACGCGCGGAGC